AAGGATTGGAGAGTTTGGCATCAATTTAAAAAGAAAAAGCTAAATTACTAAGACCTTGCAGAGTAAAACATTGAAAGCATCACCACTGGAGGCTATTTGTTAAAAGAGATTCTGGAAATATATATTGTCACTATCTTTGCTTATAGTCTGAGTACATTATGGTTTTAAGGTTGCTATTTTCAGTATTTTAATACATTTCCTTAAAGTGATTTGCAACATTCTTACAAGTAGTCACTGTATCCAGCAAAATCTAAATCTCATTACAGAAAGCTAATGTAAAAATAAGATTTACATAACACAAATCTTTATTAAAAAGGCTAGAATTCATATATTAAATGAGGAAATACCAGAAAATGATAAAATCTAAGTCAAATCTTATATACTACATCAAAAAATACTTTAAAAATGTCTTCAGATGTTTCTTATTCATTATAACAATTAGACACTCTATTTTGTTGAACAATGTTATACTCCACAAACTTAAATACTAGCCTTAAAAACAAAACTACCACACAAAAAAACCAAAATCTTACCAAAACTCCAACTCAAATATAAATAAAGCAAACACTAAAGATAGTCTTACCAAAAGTCTACTATGTAGTTCTTTTCATAATCAGACTTTGGGTCCAGGAAAAAAAAAAAAAAAAAAAAAGACAAAAAGAATTCATAGTTTATAAAACTCAATAAAATAAAACTTTTTATAAGTGTCCCTGAAATCACAAAGAATTTCAAGGAAAAGATGGGAGTAACAGACAATGGATCTGTTTTTTTGGGGAAAAAAATCTTTTCTTACTTATTCCTTCTTGCATATATGGAAATCTCTATTATTCTACCTCTCACCCTATCTTAATTGAAGAGCCAACTCTGCTTGTGTAAAGTTATTTGAAGTGAAACACCTAGACATTCTTTGTGACTTTTTGAAAATCCGATATATTAGTTTAACTAACTGAAAAATCAATTAAAGGCCAAAATGAAGTATTTTCTTTCCCCCACTTTCTGGTTGATGGTAACCTAAGCTCTATTTTTCTTTTTTTTTAAAAAAAGATGACCGGTAAGGGGATCTTAACCCTTGGCTTGGTGTTGTCAGCACCACGCTCACCCAGTGAGCTAACCGGCCATCCCTATATGGGATCCGAACCCATGGCCTTGGTGTTATCAGCACCGCACTCTCTCAAGTGAGCCACAGGCCGGCCCTAAGCTCTATTTTTCATTTGACTTTTTTTAGGAATAGGGTAGAGAACACTTGAAAAAAACTTTAAAAAACAAGACCCTGTGATTTTAGACACCTTAAGTACCATGGTTTGTTTATTTGAAAATAGGGACTTTATTAACTAGTTTTAAAAAATTACTAATTACCCTTTATTCCAGAATTGAATGTATTTCAATGGCCATTATACATATAATTTGATAAAATTTCTTAAAGATAAAATATGCTATGAAAAATCTAATAGGTTACTTTTAACACAAAACAGTCACAGCTTCACAAGAGGAAAGTCAACTGAAACCAGAGTTAAGTCCCATTCTGACTTTTTTTTTTGGAGGCTGGCCAGTACGGGATCTGAACCCTTGACCTTGGTATTATTACAACGCCTTGCACTAAGCAACTAAGCTAACTGGCCAGCCCCTCCATTCTAACTCTCTTTGTGTGACGAACATTCAGGAAATTTCAAAAGAATGAGAGGGATTCTGACATAGACACACTGGGCTTCTAAAATTCTTAGAGCAATAGTCACAGGGGAGATGAAACATTTAGTAAAATAAAAAGTGCTACAGAAATGCTCAATAATTCAGTAATTTTCAATCAAATAAATGATGAAATGTTTTAGTCATGAATACCCATTTCATAATATTAAAAAAAAAGGTGGATCATTTCCTTAAACTGATAGTGACCCACTTAAGATAAAGGCCATTTAAGTGGATATGTTTTTTTTTTTTTTTAAAGATGACCAGTAAGGGGATCTTAACCCTTGACTTGGTGTTGCCAGCACCACGCTCAGCCAGTGAGCGAACCGGCCATCCCTATGTGGGATCCGAACCCGGGGCTTTGGTGTTATCAGCACCGCACTCTCCCGAGTGAGCCACGGGCCGGCCCATTAAGTGGATATGTTAAATAGCCACTACTTTAGAGAGGAGATGATTTTAACTACTGGTTTAGTATTTAAATGGCTAGTATAACATAATACCTGGAAATAAACAAACCTTAAGCATTTGATTAAATCCTGTGATCTCTAAACTATTAAAATAAGTCCGATGAACCTTATTCCTCATAATTGATTAGTAAAGCTTTTCAAATGTCAAACAAATTTTATAAAAAGGGTACCTCCTAAAGAGGAAACTCAACTTTAATAAAAAAAAATATGAAGACTCAGATTTTAAGAAAGAAGTGGTCACAAGAGAATGAATGCCCTTCCTTTTCAATGACCTAGTCAAAGAGATTAATGCTACATATGGTTGGGAAAAATCATGTTTTTCTTTATTTGAAGAATATATCTAAAACTCAGTATAAAACAAAAGCCAATAACAACAACAACAAAAACAGAAAGGGATACTGATTCAATTCTAATTCCTATTTCTCTGAATCCATGTTATCTAAGCATCTCACTTGCCGTATTTTTAATGTTTTTTCACTAACATTTCCAGAGGGCCCAATTTGGAAGGAAGAGTAGAATTACTAGGCAACCCTTTGGAGGCATGTTTGAGTGTCTATGGGATGGAACAATGAGTTTCTGAGCAGCTCTACAGAGCTTAGCAATGCCCCCCGGCAAAGGAGACTGGCAAGGAAAGGAAAGGCGTAAAATGCAGATGGTGGGGGACTGGGCAGGGCAGGTTGTGGGTAAAACAGAGTGAACAATGAAAGTAAGATAAAAATGAGGCAGGTATAGTGGGAAATTATAGAAAGAGCTCTATCAGTAAAAAGGGCCTTTGACCCTTGTGTCTCAAAGTGCCCAAACCTTTTTGAGCATGCTACAGACCAAGTCAATTTTGTAAAAATTTTGTTAGCTATATGCTTGCTATTCTATTAGTGAATAAATAAAACCCCATCTAATAATTACTAATAATCATATATTTAGTGTCACTGGAGGAACAGAAATCATGGACTTTGATGTTTTCAATATGTTATTCTTTTATCCCTTTTTCTCTCTTTTTAAAATGAGAAATGTTTTTTTTTTTTTTTTTTTAAAGATGACCGGTAAGGGGATCTTAACCCTTGACTTGGTGTTGTCAGCACCACGCTCAGCCAGTGAGCGAACCGGCCATCCCTATATGGGATCCGAACCCGGGGCCTTGGTGTTATCAGCACTGCACTCTCCCGAGTGAGCCACGGGCCGGCCCGAGAAATGTTCTTTTTCACTATTTTACCTAAATTAAAAGTTATGAATCAATCTCTAAAATAATGATACTTATCTTAAGCTACCCACATGAGGGGCCAAAGGTATGCCATAATTAATACAGAGTGGTTTCTCTGGCTGAAATCTAACTATTCAAATAAAAAAAAAGTTTCAAAATTATATTGTGGTACCTAAAAACTAAAAAATCATTTATTTAAAGTCTTCCCAATTTTCTTCTTTACTGACTTCAAAGGTTGGCATTTATGCGGATGTCTGTCTGCTGGAAAAACCTTGAACTGTCAGCCATATTTAAAAATCATCACAAATCCAAACTGAGTAAATGAAGATGTAGGTAATAGCATGGATTTGGTCCCTAGCCTAACTATGAAATAGAGATGGCAGTATCTTTGATAAGACCACAACAATGCTCCTTCTTTCACTTTTGATTCCCTCTGAATCATAGTAAGAATATACTGACGGCCACATTATAGTCATTTTCTACATAAGAAAGTGTACACATTAGAGAGTGCTAACAAACACTTTATGTCATGGAATGCAAAAAGAGAACAGCATTCATTCATAAGTAGAATCTTGCTGGGCAAAGAATATAAGGAGGGGAGAAATTTTATGAGACACAATGATGAGGTGATTGCTTAAATATGCATCACAAGAGGTAAATATAATCTAAAGTAATAACTTAAAAAAAAATCTATTACCTGTTTGTTTGGCAACCAGAGTTATCTAAAAGAAAAACGAACAAAACTAAAAGTTCCCACAGTATTCTGTGAAGTTTTTATGGGGGGGTGTGGTGATAAGAGGGCAATGCATTTGTAAGGAAATTTGACTTGTACATGTTTAACATATCCTTAATGTATAACGGAACATTATCCAAAAGGAATTCCACTTTTGACATTTTCCCACTAAAAATCCACAGTTAAACCATTTTACTCATGTCAAACATGCCACCCCTCAGCAATATCTTTGGCTACCTGCACCCACAATTATTATTATTTTTTTCCTTAAAAAGATAACCAGTAACGGGATCTTAACCCTTGACTTGGTGTTGTCATCACTATGCTCAGCCAGTGAGCGAACTGGCTATCCTTATATGGGAATCTGAACCCGGGGCCTTGGTGTTATCAGCACCACACTCTCCCGAGTGAGCCACGGGCCGACCCTGCACACACAATTTATAAAAAAGAAATTTAGTCTTTTGCTTCAAGGAAATAAAGGAAATCCAAACTTTCCAAATTGTAGTAAAAAGAAATAGTTATAGAAAAAATATTGAGTAAAAATAGGATTATTCAATTTCAGTGACTTCCCAAATTAGATCTGTTCAGTTTGTCTCATCTAACACAGGCTAACCTACTGTCAACTTCCCACCTGCAAACACATGCACAGGAGTGGTCTTCCTTTGAAGGCCCTAATGGATGTGTGATAGCTAATAACAGAAGTTGCATGAGAAAACTGAAAGAGAAAACTGAAGTTTAATAATTAGAACAACCAAGTAAATGAAACAAATTTGAAACAGGAAGTAAAACCTCTGGAAGAGGCACTACCAATTTTTAGCAAAAATTGTGTATATTAACTCTTGGATGTTGAAAATCCAATGTTAAGCATGAATTTTAGATTGGGAAAAATTATATCTAGTCTTTAAACACACAAATGTTCTTTGGTTCACCTTAAAAAAAAAAAAGAATATCCTATTCAATTTAACATATTAGCAAACATATACTCATTTATTTTCTTTTTGTTGCTATTCTCTTACACTTTTTCACTCATTTAATTTGTTTCAGTGGACTGGAAACGCACCATATCCCCCTGCCTGGATGGGTGTTTTTGGAGAAGCACAAGCATATAGACTAAAATCCTCTGTTTGGAAACCAGCCCGATTCAAGGAGGGTTCTGATGCACTGCGGTGAATTTTTGGCAATGAGCGGGCCAGCAGCTCGATAGAGGCGAGAATCTACAAAAAAAGAACAAAATAAAACAAAACAAAAAACCCAGAAAGAATGAAAATCTGAGTGGTGTAAATCTTTAAGAGCCCAATAATACTTACAAGAAAGCACCTGAAATCTTGCATTGTTTTCAGTATTATTATAAATGCCTGAAAAAATATTTAAAGGAACTGATATTTTCCTTAAAAAGAAAAGATAACACTATCTGACTATCTATAATCAGAACCACCAAAGCAACTCGTCCTTTAAGAAAACTTAGCAATGGGAAATGTCTTACACACACCTAATTAACAGTAGGGCCTCAGTGACCCAGACTATCAGTAGCACATGAGTGAGAAGTGACAGGTGACAATGAAGAGTGAAAAAAAAAGGAAAATTCTACAAATAGGCATCAATACACAAAACATAGAAATTCATATATTTTAAGGTACAAAAAACAGGTTATAACTCTTGAAGGCATACGGAATAATAGGTGCATGTTCATAATCATGAGACATATGTTTAAAGTGCTTGGCATAATGTCTGGCATATAGTAAATATTCAATAAAACTCAAGCAGCCATTATTATCACTTTTATTATTGTCATGAGCTACCAAAACTTTTTAAAAGTTCAACTGTAATCTTTATAATGATTAATATAAGAAGGCAAAGAAATAAGCAATGTTATAAAAAATTTTAAATTACAAGTGTAACATGCAATATAAATTCAAATAAAACAGAGACATATAAAGTAAGAAGTATAAGGCTCTTAAAGATGAGTTGCTCTGATGGTTCTGGTTAGCAATAGTCGGACAGTGCTTTCCTTATTTATAGTCCATCTTCTTCCAAAAGGAACTTGAGTTCTGTGACAAATAGGTATATCGGTATAATTAGTTTTAAATTTTATTATTTACTGTTCCAAGTCTGGCAAATGATCTAAAATGTAGAAGTACCACCCTCCAGGGGTAACCACTGTTACAGTCTATACTTTCTTCTGGACCTTTCCTAAGCATAGAAATACACATATGAAAACAAAGCCCACACTTACCACCTTTTAAAGTGATCTCATACTACACATATTGTCTGCATTGTTTTCGTTCTCCCTCAGCAATATCCATGACATCTATACAGAGCTACTTTAATCTTTGTCTTTAACTTTTTATATTACAGTAAACATTCTTGTATATATCTGAACACTTATGGAAGTAGGGTCTGTACCATAGATTTCTAGTAATATTTTAAATTTATGGATTTTACCAAATCCTTCCAAAAGGCTGAACAATTTACATTCCCATCAACACCGTTAAAACATTTAGGAAGAATGCTCTCCCCATTCTCAACATTTTTCCCAATACTGCCAATCTGAGAGGCAAAGTCAAAATGTATTTCACTGTTCTGTGACTTTGCATTTTACAAACTGTCACTGAAATATTTACACCTTTTCCTAAGTTCACTCACCATTTGTATTTCATTTTGTATTTTAAAGAAATACAAATTTGACCATTTTCTACTGATTATCTTTTTTTAAGCCAAATACCGATTATCTCTTACTTATTAATTTGTAGTCCTTTGTATACTATAAATATTTACTCTTTGTTATACATGCCACAATTATTTTTCCTTTATCTTTCAATATTATTTTTACTCTACAGAAGTTTAAAAAATTTTAATGTAGTCATATCTGCTAATCTTTTCCTTTACAACTTCTGGATTTTATTTGTTGTTTAGGAAAGCCTTTCCTATAAGACTACAAAAATGATTTCATACTTTATAGTTGTGTCTTTTACATATAGATCTTTAGCCATTTAGGGCCGGCCTGGTGGCGCACTGGATAAGTGCGCCGCTTGGGAAGCGCGGCGGCGCTCCCGCCCGAGGGTTCGGATCCCACATACAGACCGGTTCCCGCTCACTGGCTGAGCGAGGCGCGGGAGCAACACCGAGGGTTGCAATCCCGTTGCCGGTCCCCGGTCCGGTACGGGCGCGACACTGAGGGTTGCTATCCATTGCCGGACACGGAAAAAGACAAAAAAATAAATAAATAAAATTATGTGGCATATCATTGTATGGTATGAAAAGATATCCTGTAGTGAAAGTTTAAAAAATAATACCGAAGAGGGGTAACCATCAATAGTCTGGAAAATTCATATATGCATTTCATCTTTTGATACCATGCAATGAATGAAATGTTACATTTAGAAGTATGAGCATTTTGCCTCTTTTAGTATCATTTAAAAAGTGGGCCTAAGGGATGTAATTTGCCTTATTAATGTAAATCAACCATGCTAAATAAGACATCCTAACACCCGGATGTGAAAAGACAACATGGTACAGAGTAGTGCTGACACTGGTCAACAATACTGGTCTTTAACTTTGATAAGTCTCAAATCAGAGGTTTTCTGAGTTAAAAAACAAAAAGAAACAAAAAAACCAAAACTATTCCTCAGAGGAATAGTTACTTAGAATCCCAACATGTAAAACATACCTCTGCCCACTCAACCATTAGCCTCTCCTCTCTAAGGCATCCCTGAGAGAATTGTTAAAACCACCAATTCAATCTTTAGTTCTTTAGAGAAGAACAAAAATTTTTAGGAAAAGAAAAAGAATGAGTGAATCTTATTCCTGTAACAGTGACTTCTGTCTAAGTAACCTAACTAGCACTTGGTATTCAAAGAATATGGGTTCACAAGGAACACCCTAGCAATTATGATAGCAGTGTAACTGTGGGAGTCAGCATTTCCCACAAGAAACTACTGATTTATCAAGGCATATTTATACAGTGCTATCAGGAACATCCTAAGCATCAGAAAACACTGTATTTATATTACAATATCTACTATAGCTAACTTCTCTAAGCTTGTTCAGGTACTTAGTTTCAGTTCTTTGTGAGGCTTAATAAAGATTGTTAACTTAAAGGCTTCAGCCCTACAACATGAAAAGAAAAAGCAATGGAAAGTTATCAAGAATCAGGAAAAGGCAGACTGCACTGAAAATTGCATTTTCTTTTTGCCCTAGGTGGAAAAGTCCTTCAAAAAGACTTATTATTAAAGGGAAGTCTGGAATCTGTTTATTTTACCAAGAATTAACAGTGGTTCACAAAGTGTCATTGGTGGACCATAGGGGGTCCACAAGGTCAAAACTATTTTCATAATAACAAAGTTTTCAGAGGCAACATGTGAGAGATATTGCAACATAATGAATGCAAAAGCAGAGGATCCAGCTGTCTAGTTTTTGCAGAGATTTGCAAAAAATGTAAAACAATACCACTCTTTTCACTAATTTTGTTTTGGAAAATACAATTGTTTTTTCTAAATAACATCAACATGTTGGCTTTATTATGTTTAGATATGCTAATAAATATTTTTAAAACATCATTTTAATTTCTAATATGGCAATTATTACTTACATAAACAAAAGATCTTTGGGGGGTCTTCAGTAATTTTTAATTGTGTAAAAGGGTTCTGAGACCAAAGAGTTTAAAAACTGCTAGAACAAATGCAAAGTCTTTCTGAATATTTTGTATTGGGATCCCAAATTTCTAGGTGTACCACTGCTCAACTTTTATAAGATCATCTTCATGTGTTTACTAATCTGGAGTCTGCACATAATCACACAGAATCCGAAACAATGAAATACAAATTGTGTGCACAAAAAAGTGCTCAAAAATATGGCTGTGAATGTTAGTCTGTTCTTTTAGGTAGCATGAAACTTTTTCTTACTTGGGGAAAGAGTGGTCTCTCATCCCTTTTCTTTTTGAGGCACTCTGCCATTAATCTCTTCATGGCTTTTGGACAGTTACTCCGTACCTTACTGAGATCTGGGGATAGGTATCCACGTCCCACCATAAAAATTATCTGGAAAGAAAAAAAAGGCAAATCAAAGGCAAACCTTGTAGGTAAGTTGAAAACTATATAAACAGTGAAAATTCAACAAGCTCTATACACTTACAATGTATGTACTTTTTACACTTCAATAAAAAGAAGAAAAACAATGATAGTATTTGGATTCCTATATATCAAAGACTTTGGGGAACCCACACTTAAAGGGCTGCAACTCAAATCTTCATGGTCTATGGCAAAGGTCTCCTAATTGTTCCCTGTGCTTCTAGTCTCTCCTTATACAGTCCATCTCCCCACTAACAGGGTAATTGTTCTAAAACACAGATCTGATACTGACTCCTCTTTACTTAAAAAAAAAAAAAAAATTTATTGAGCACTTCATGCTGTTGGGAATTGTGAAAAGTCCTTTATATGTGTGTAGCAGGAACCAAAAGCACACATTTTTAGCAGTCATTTTGACATCTGCATTTTAAGCCCTTTTGTTGTGGAAACTCCAATGGGGCATTTAGTTACACAAATCTCAGAACCAGAACCTCCACCAGAGGAGAGAAGGTGAAGACATCAGGAGCTAAAATCTTCTGTGTAATAAAGTAAAGGGTCTTATCTTCCCTGGGTACAGAAATTTATTATTTTTCTAATTTCTTAATTTTCTAATTTTGGGCTCTTAATTTGAGGGTGGGCAGAGACAGATAGGAGTCTTGGGACTCAGGGAAAAGAAGGTCTGAGAGAGGGGGTTTTGATATCAGTGGGATCAGAACTAACAAGAGCAAATTAGAGGTGAAAGTGGCAAAAGCCAGTAAGAGGTCCCCTGTTACAGGGCACAGCTGATGAATTTTAGGAACGGTCTAGTTTGATATGTTATTTACTGTTTGGTGCTGTAATGACTCTCATTTAATAATGAGCCTTTAGTGAAGCTATGACTGCAATGTGTTCTCTACGACAGAGGTTAAAAGGATGACGCTTGGGATTGGGAAGAGATATTGAGGGGGCACAGTTTTCTTCCACATTGCACTGTTCTGAAGCCAGGCTATCATAACAACATCATTTTAATTGGAGGACAGCAGTCTCAGAATTCTAGGAGCAACAAGGAATAATACCTGGAGCACAGGTGATAAGCAACAACTGGGAGAATGTAAAGCACTTTCAAGGAAGTCTTCAAAGTTGAAGATAAAGGGTCTGGACTACCAATAGTCATACAGGACAGCAGTTCAGATATTTTTACTTGGCTGTAAATGGAAAAGGTAGCCCTGAAAGGCCAAAAATCTCTAAGACACTTGCATTACAGATGCCATAATACTCGAAATAATTCTTTAAAGTAGGTATTAACCCCATTTCACAGATGAGGAATCCAAAGCTCAAACAAATTAAGTAATTTGCTTAAGATAAACCAGCTGAATAACAAGGAGGAATTTGGAAAGAAGACCATCCCAATACAAATCTGCTTTTATATATTGCCTCTGTTCCTACTCTGCCTGTAATGCCCTCTCAGACCCTCTTTACTAGATGAATCAAGGCCTAACTGAAATCTAACCTTGTTCACCATACCTCTACTTTCACACTTAGGCGTGATAACATCTCCCTCCCCCACCACAGCTATGATGATCATTCACTGCCTTGCATGGTTATTAATCTTTTTGTGATATTTATATTATCTAAGTTCCCCAATGAGACTATGGATACTTGTAGGGCAGGGATTGTGATTCATATATACCATATGTATTTTCTTTCTTTTTAATCTGTGCCACCTCTGTCTCCCATATTTAACATAATATTCCATGCATAAGAGGTTTTTGATGTTTAAGTTAACAACTCATTAAGGTGAATAACTTTGTGCTAATTGGTTAGCCATGTAATTACTATGCAATTTTTGGTATGTAATAGGAATGAGTTCAAATAATTGAGTGAGTGGTAAAGAATTAACCTTGCCCAAACAGAGGGCTGGCCTTTGCTTTTACCTCTTGGGAGGTAATTGCTAATCCCTCGGAATGTCCTGTCTGATCAGAGTGTCTGTTTATCTTGGGGCCCTGGGCATTGCTAGATAGTCTATGCTAACAATGTGATTTACAGAGGGGGGTTTGGGTCATGTGGCATCAGCTTGACCTCTGGAGAAGCTGAAAACTAAGGTCAGCCACACAGGTGGTCACCATATCTATGTGACTGAGCCCCAATAAAAGCTATAGACTTCAAGGCTCAGGTGAGCTTCCCTGGTTGGCAATATTCTGTGTGTATTGTCACTCACTGCTGCTGAGAGAATTTAACACTGTCCACAACGCCATTGGGAGAGGATAACTGGAAGCTCCACATGTGAAACTCTCCAGGATTCTGCCCCATGAGCCTCTTCCCTTGGCCGATTTCAATCTATATTCTATCATTGTAATAAACTGAGAGTATAACAGCTTTTCGGTGACTTTTTGGTGAGTCTTTTTAATGAATTACCAAATCTGAGGCTTGTTTTGGGGACCACTAAACTCTGCATATGACTATAATAAAACTCGTGCTTTTCCCATTTTATTATTTAAATAAGATTTCTCAGTACTTACCTCTTTAAAAATAAAACAAGAAAAAGGATTGATCCTAAGCCCCAGCTCATTCAAGCAAAAAGTCATTTTTATCTACAGATACATAAATTAATTGAAGGGAAAAGAAAAGGCCCATGTAGTTCATTAAAATATACATTTCCAATAAAATTCTACCTTCTGTTTTTATATATCAAAACTCATTTCATCAGTTATGTATTAATAATTGTAACAGTAGCATAATTCAGAATTTAAAAAATTAATAACTAGAGTGTAAAGGCACAAGAAGTTTTTTTTGAATTCTGAATTTAAATTTATATACATATTTTTTTGTTGCAGAGCTATAACTTGGGTAATCAATAAAAGGCTTTAAAGCATAAAAATATGTTACATTAGGATAAAACTCTGTGGGGGAGGGGCTGACTGTTGAAGAAACAGCAAGAAGGGAGAAGGAAAAGTCTCTTTTGGATGCAATTCATCACTAGAAGATTCATGTAGCACACATACTACAAAATCAATACCGCAGCTTGAAATTCTGGGACTGGTTCTTCTTATTCTTAATCCACAGTCAGCACTCCTGGCACCTCCATCCCCCTTCATTCACTCCTCGCTATTACTGGAGCACGTGTCTGCTCATTTTCAGTATCACTCCCTGCAGTGCCTCAACAGAACTGTAAACTCCGTTGAGAGCAGAGCCTATATCTTACTTAGCTTTGAGTCCCTCTATATTCCACAGTGCTTTGCATACAGTAGATACTGAAAACATTTTCTATTAAAATAATTTGCCTTGATAAGATATTGGTACTTATTTCCTGTTTCTTCAAACCTTGTGCTTAGAACCCAGTCACCATGCTGTGAGACAGACTTAGCAGCCTGTGAACAGGTCTTCATGGAAAGGCTCATGTGCCATCCAACTCTTAGCCCTAAGTTTCCAGTTGACAGCTAGCAGCAACTTGCCAAGTATGTGAATGAGCCATTTTGGAGGTAGATCCTTTTAACACCCAGGCAAGCTTCTCTAGTCAACACCATATGAAACTGATTGTAACCTTCCTCACTAAGAAAAGCTCAAATAGCAGATTCATAATTTGTTTTAAGCCACTACATTCTGGATGGTTTGTTGTACAGTAATAACAGATACATGTTATCTATTATTTTCTTCTGCTCCAAGAAAAGAAAGACATGAGGGTACAGTCAGTATACCTAGCTTAAATGAATACATTTTAAAACCCAATTAAGTAGAGGAGCTGCAATGAAGAAGGGAAGAATAGAGTGATTAGAGAAGAAAATGGAATGGTAAAGAGGGGGAAAAATGACAAAGTGATTTCTCAGACTTTCAGTACTAGGGTAAGTAAAGGTAAAAAGACATACTACTTAGCAAAGAAACATAGGGATGGTCATCCCTCAAATTGTTAACAGACCTATTTTAGGAAAGAATCTAATTTTTAGAAGTAGAAGGAATTCTTTAGTCCAATTTTTATAATTGGGGAAAAAAAAAAAAGGTAACCAGAGAGGTAAGGTGACCAGGTCATGCAGGTCTTGAGTCCAAGGCCTGCCATTACATCACACTGCTTTACTTGAGTCCTGCTCTGAATTTATAGTCAAAATCTGCCACCTCAGACTATGGGGTTAAGAGTGTAGGGCAATGGTGCCTATATTACACAGAAATGGAGCAGTTGTCCCATTTCCTATGAAAAATATTATTACTGGATTCTCAATCAAAATCTAATCTGAGAGCCATGGAGATCAAAGTATAAGAAAAAGAGAAAGAAAAATCAAATTAAGAGAAGACAGTAATACTTGGGGTTTCTTCACTGAGGATGACCAGAGTTATTCTTTCTGGGGAGTTCCATGGAAAGTACCATTTGAATACAGCAGACTAGGGAGGGTAATGAAGTAGAATGGGGGTAGTGGGAAGAGTATATCATTCTTTTTTTTTAATTTCGGCAGCTGCTGGTACAGGGATCCAACCCCCTGACTCTGGTATTATCAACACCACACTCTACCCAAGTGAGCTCACCAGCCAGCCTGAGTATATCATTCTTTTTTTTTAATTTCGGCAGCTGCTGGTACAGGGATCCAACCCCCTGACTCTGGTATTATCAACACCACACTCTACCCAAGTGAGCTCACCAGCCAGCCTGAGTATATCATTCTTTTGCTTCCTTCTTCATCAAATACTTAACTTGGTCTTAGACTGACAAATTCCAGAAGGCTCTAACTATACTACTAAAAAGAATTAACTAGTAAAGGCCTTACCCTTCTGTTGGTCACTCACTCACTTCTCTCATGGAGAGTAAGCCCTTGCCACATCATTTATTATACTCCCAAGGAGGACAAAGCACCTAAAATGCCAAGAAGTGGATGAGTGCAAAACTCTGGGATGTTTTTATCCATATTTTGGAGATAATAATACTTGTTTCTGTAGTATAATTTTATTATTTTATTAAAATAAACTCATTCACTAACAAATAGATCTCATCTAGATGTTAGGTTCATAAATTTTTATTAACTGGTAGACTCTATGATAAGTCAACTGAAACTAAAAACCTTGGTAATTCTTCCAAAAAAATAATATGCATAGGAAAAGTAAACATGGCACAGGGTGTTATGCTGTATGGTCAAATTAGTAAGACTGTAAAAGCCAGAACACACAAAACTTGCAAATTACAGACAATTTTGCTACTCAGACTACCATCATCAAATCAGTCATCTCAGTGATCTAGATCTGTCACAAGTACAGTAAGTGCAAGGCTTCAATTATATTCTTTAGCCGATATTTTGGTCTGCCCTGAATCTGAGTTTCATGCAGGCTTAAAACATCATATCATCAGAACTGAAGTCATATGTTGTTTAATACTCAAAGCCAAAACTCAACATTCTTAAGCAAAGAAGTAGGTAGAAAGACCAAAAAGCAACTAAAAATTTAGTTTTATGATGAATGGGGCAGAAATGTAGTCATTTTTTAAACCCTCAAAACACAGAATCAAGACTGCTGTTAGATAAGGGCTAAATGGTAATTCAATTAAGTACATGATATCTTAGACTACTTCTCTGATATCACGTGGCAGCTGAATTGAGAAAGCTACACAGAGCTATCATCAAAAAGATGGTGAGTTGACCAAAACAAACACACCAATTAAATGAAGTAACACCTTCATACACAAAAACTATCATTTATTTAGGTTAGAAAGTTATAATGAAATATGTAAGAAGTTACTCTTTTTTTTCCTTTGGATTGGTAATTCTTAACTCTGGTATATGTTGGAATCACCTGGGGAACATTAAAAATGCAGGTGCTTGGATCCCACCCCACTGAATCAGAATCTGCTCCAGCATCTCCATTTTTTAACAAATTTCCCAAGTGATTCTGATGCAAACCACAGTATAAAGTGTGAACATATTTTAATCACAGTTTATATGGTCAACTATTGTTTTCTAACATATTAACAGTGTAATTGATGTAATCTTTCTTTATGTCTTCCTCTCACTCCAGACACACACACACACATTTAAAAAAATATTGAGGCATCCAAGGTAATTTCAGTAATAACAATGCACTTTTCTTGGCCAAGTTGAAAAGCCTAAGTGAATTTAATGCAGCTGATATAGAAAAGGCAAAGAGCTGTATGAGGCTGCGGTTGAGACCTTCTGGAAGGCAAGTGATAGAGAACAGGAACTTAGAAAGGAAAGAAGTAAAAAATTACCTCCTATTAGAATTCCCATTATAGGAAAATCAAAGCACTATGCATAACATTCCTTCCATTTACCTAGTTTTAAAAATTAAAACAAATATAAAGAAACCTGAATAATTTTTGAAGAATTTGATATGAAGAAGTTCATAGCTAAGTACCGGCTCTGATAGCAGAATCTGTGATAGAGTAAAAGGTATAAAGCCCAGATGCTATAGTAGCGGCTCATTCTTCTGATTGTGCTATGATTAAGAAATATGAGGTATATCCATTGTTATGCTTCTAGCTTCTAGTCAGAAAATCAGAAATTTCACTCCTTTGAAACATTTAAAACTGCTATTTCAAAGAAAGGCCTTATCTGCTTATATTACTACCAAAAGTGTCCAGATTTCTAAAACTGGTAACAAAGATCTATTCTTCATGCTTACTCAGGATGCAACACTTTTTTCTACAACTAATTGGAACCTTTATACAAGTATAAAGTTAACCCCAGGAGAGGGTAAATATTTACCTGGTCCCTGTTATTGATGTTTGAATAAGGTAACTGTCCAGTCATCAATTCATACAAAACAATCCCAAATGCATATACATCTGACTGAAAGCTATATGGGTTTTTATCTTGCATTCTGATTACTTCTGGTGCCTGTTAGAACATAAAAAGAAAAATATTCTAGTTTATTCTTCACTTTAACTGAACAAAAACTGAAAAACAAACTATTATAATTCCTAGAGCAGTGCTTTTATCATTAAAAAACCATCTAATATCTAATCAATTCTCTTATTAATGATCAAAGAAACAAAACCAATTAAGATGAAGAAAAAAACTTCCATTCTATAAACTATGAAAGAGGCAGGATTAGCTGAGATTTCATAATTCATTACTAAGATTTTATAATTTTATCAGCTATACTCTTTCTGCACAAAATACTGTCATTGCCATTTGAATTCTTCCCATGATTTACTCTAACAGAATCAGTTCCTGATTCAGCAAAGAAATACTAGACCTGTGGTTATAAGATGCTTGGGAGCAGCACTACGGTAGTAATTATCTTAGAATGTAGGTTTTTCCCGTTGGTACAAATGATTTTCCTCATCTCAGGATACCTTAGAAAATAATGGTAGAATTTCAAATCCTCTTCCAAGCCATGGAATAAACATGTGGTATAAACATGACATGGATGCTTTATTAATAAAAGCAACAGATAGCAGATTTAGTAGAAGATAGTATAACAAATCTTTTGGCTGCTTCTTCTTGGGCAAAGAAACAGATGGAATCATTTGCTACGTTTTTATACATTTCACTCTATGACACAACTAGATTTTTATTTTCAGAAATACAATAAATAGTTGGTTAGATATAAGCTTAAAAGATTTCTTCTTTCACCTTGCATTTCCTGTATTGTTTCACTTGGAAAGAATTGAAGAAATTGCAGAATATTAATGAAAACTTTGTGAAAACATCAATTTCATAAAGCAAAGGCAATACTAACTCTGCAAAAATGGCTGAAAGACCTGGAACAAGATTCCTGGTTACAGGTCTGAGTAGGAAGGTATCTCACTAGGAGAGGCAATCAGGGCATTCAGCTACAGCTGCAAATCAGAATCACCTGTGGAGCCTTTCAACCTCTCAATGCCCATACTACCCTCCAGCTTAATAACACACCATCAGAATCGGGGGGACCCAAACATTACTAGTGTTTAAAGCTCCCCAGATGATTCTAATGTCCAACCAAAGTTGACCACCACTGACAGAAGATCTGTGGAAGACCCTGAAGAGAGTGAAAGGATGGGGGTGGAGAAGGTTGACTTTGTTTTTTGTCAGACATTTTGTTGATAGTAGCTTTTAGTAAGGCACTACAAAGTAAACCACACATAACTATGATGTAATGAATCAGCCAGAATTCTGAGAGGCTGGTTATAAAGACAATTTTCAAAGCCTGAACCAATTTTTGTAAGGGACAGAGTATAAATCAGTTGAAGAACTGTCTTTGATGTAATGAATCAGCCAGAATTCTGAGAGGCTGGTTATAAAGACAATTTTCAAAGCCTGAATCAATTTTTGTAAGGGACAGAGTATAAATCAGTTGAAGAACTGTCTTTTGAAATTTAATTTTATCTCACTGTTGTTGGTAGATGGCCTGATGAAAAGTTGCATGTCACCTATTTACAAGAAAGGCATGACCGATCCTCAATTTAGTGATTTAATTTGCAAAAATTTTCACAAAGGTTTCTTTCTCCTCTAAGATATAAATAAAACAAAGTTGAGAAGACTATTGCAAATAATTCAGAGGACCACAAAACCTTTGTTCTGACAAAACTCTTTTTCTCCTAGTCTATGGATGTTCCATATTTCTGAAGGCAACGTCAACCCAGAAGGATTTATTTAACAATGAAGTGTACAACTGGCTAGTCTCTTAAAACTCAGCATGGTGAAATAAAGGATGAACCCATCTACCCAGGTATCAATAAAATAAAATAAAACTATGTATAATAATCTACTAATTGTATAAACTAAGGTTTTTTAAAAAGTAAGGACAAACCTGAAGACTTAATTGAGCTTACTCTTTCACTCTAGTTAAAATAAGCACACCTTCGAAACATGTGACAACTACTTCTTTATAGTTTTGGGTTTTGCAATTCCAGTACTTAAAATCTGTTTCCATCTTCTTAGGATACACTGCCATCTTTGTTACAAGGTGTGTGCCTTAAAGATGACTGAGATCTAGATTACAATTACTAATGAGCTTCTCTCTGATATTTATTAGAACAGTAAAACATGTATTAAAAAAAAACGTATGTCACTAATGCCAATTACTCATTCTTAGAAATAGAAACGGCTTTAGAAATCCATTAGTCCAATGCAACATTTCAGATGGAGAGACTTAGAAGAGGTTAAAAAACTTCTAAGTTAATGGCCAAACAGGGTACTAGAATACAGATCCCCTAACTCTAAATTCAATGTCCCCTATTCCACCTTGCCATTTGCCCTAATTCCATTTACTGTCATAAGAAATCATAGCTCAATTTAAACCTAGGTGTATGGTGACGAACTCAGAATCCTACCTTGGAATTACCTTCTTGAGGACTGCTACATACAGTTCAGGGAATTTATGCAAATATGGTTTCAAAAGCCCTTGCAAACTTTTCTGTTTCCAGCAGGGTGTCTCAAAAGTCTTAATGCAGATTAAGTTATTTAAAGCTTAAAATTAAGCTATTTAAAGCTTAAAATTGCACTAAGACTTTCTGGGACACCCTGTACTAAGCTTAAAGCTGTGGTTTTCAGACTTTTTTTGGTCTCAGGACTCTCTGTCACTCTTAAAAATATAAGGACCCTAAAGAGCTTTTGTTTACATGGATTATACCTGTGAATATTAATCATATTAAAACTTAACTGAGAAACTTAAAATATTTATTCATTTAAATATTAAAATAACAATAGCCATTAGATGTTAACACAGGTCACCCATTTTTAATGAAAGTCACTTTAATGACTCTCTTTAATGTCTCACTTCATAGCAGCCAGCTAGATTTTCATAGTTATTGCTGCGTTCAGTCTGTTGCAATATGTTGTTTTGGTTGAAAGATATGAAGAAAACCTGGTCTCACAAAGGGAAAACCTTGTGGATCCCTTAAAAATGTCTTAGGGACCCTTTTGAGAATCACTTGCTCACAGAATGATTCCTATGACTGACCTTTCCACAGCCTGCTGCAGAAACTGCACAGATGTTTTAGTTCTTTTCTTTCAGAATTTCTTTCTTCTTTTCCACAAAGCAGAAATAGGAAGAAAGAAAAAGAAAGAGCTATGCAAGGCAACACAAGGCTAAGACTTAAAAATCTACCTCTCTTCTTTTGTCTTTCCTCTTACAGCTGCCCTATAATTATAAGGTTTTTTCTAGTTTGAACAATTTAAACAAATAAAATTGTGAAACAGCCTCTCTGATAAAAGTAGTTAGTTCTCTTAGGAAGACCATAATAATGGTCACAGATCACATCTGCTTTAAATTGCATACCTGTTTTTTTTAAACAGGGTACACAGAACATTTTGAACATGAAACATTTTAAACAATTCTGAACAAAATTTGAACACTGTTTATAAAATATATATTTTTGTTTGAAATATATTAAACTGGTTTCATAATATCCTTTTTAAATAAAGAAAAAAGTTAAAATCTATTTACATAAAAAATGAGAACAACACTGATTTTTGTGAATACTTAGAACTAAGAAAATACTACAGGTGAAACCTTCAATGACCTTCTAGTAACTCAGAAGCATATCAGGGTCCAAAAATTAAATGAACGAGAAATAGCCTCAATTCTTACCATCCACAAAATGGATCCAGACAACTGTTCCAACTGATGGGACCCACTCCATCGAGATTTCACTGTGGCTAGACCAAAATCACCTATTTTTACTGTGAGGTCTTCATGAAGAAATATATCTGAGGTGTAGTAAGTAAAGGAAAACAAAAGATCTCATTTTCCTATCAGAGCAAGCATTGTGAAGATTTCAGGTAAAAAAACTAATTTCTATAATTCTATAATATGATATTCTTTAAAAAAGTATAGTATTTCATTTTCCTCTTGAAGTCAATAAATATGTCTTGAACAATAATTAGTTCTATTTAGCTTTTATGACCTGTTTTTAAGATTTTTTCAGGCTTGAAATGTGCTAGGATGAGGTGAGATACTTTCCTAAGTCTAGGGGAAGTCCTGAAACTTTCCCATTAGATTTTAGTAATGTGGGCCCAGATATCCTCTTGGCACAGCTGGAAAAACTGTAAGGCTCTTCACTGGAATGAAGATGCTGGCAGACAGGATCTTAGTCTGGGCTTAAGGAAGAAAAAGAAAAATTATGTTTTTCTCACCTCATTGTTTTATAATTTAGATACTTCATTTATATCTCAACTACCACTGAGCAAGGTCAGACAGCTGAAAACTAGTATGTAGCTACAAAACTATCAGTTTCATAAAGCAATCAAAAAATCCAACTATAATAAAGGCTTTTGACAGATTTTCCTTTAATGGTCATTCAGAAACCAAAAGCAGGTTGTAGTATCCTGCTCTACTATACTCTCATGCAAACAATTTTCTTTACATTATAATATTGAACTTAGCATAAAAACTGTTTTTACATAATGTGAAGACAAAATGCAGAAGAAAAAGTCAGGATGTTTTCAAACTTCGCAGACAAATTTCAGGAAGGATACTATTACTCTTGAGGTCTCTGTGGATGATTGACTTGGCGTGTAAGTAACTGAAAAACAAAACATCATTTTAACCTGAGTAGGGCTAAAGGACTCTGGCCTCAAAATCTATAGAACATATTTAGGGGCATAAAGACTTAATTTAGAATCATGATACAAATGAAAACTGTACATTGTGATAACCCCTTTACATAATATTAAAATTGACTGAAAATGAATTTATGACTATAGGAACATATTACTATTACAGTATAGCCAAAATCTTGTTTTTCTACTAGAAGACTAACGTTTTTTGTTAACAATACAAACCTTTCACTTCAGTCAAGCCTATTTACCCACATCCTTTAAATTATACCTTGATATTTAATCTCACCTGTGTTCAATGCCTCCCCATCTATCCCCTCAAATTAGCTTTCATCTATTCTCTACCTATTCATACCCATATCCTTTAAGAATGAACACAAATTCTAGCTACTGAGTAAAGTGTTCCCATGACTAACCCTACTGAAAGTGATCTTCCTGTTTGATTTATGTAGTAATTATCATAAAAGCTTGATCCATGTGTTTTCTTTTAGCATGTGCCTATGTTTGTTTTCTATTTAGAATGTAAACTCCACTAGAACATGAAAGTTTGATTAACGAAACTATTTTTAAAGGTAGCATCATACATTCTTAAAATACCTTCTTAAAACTAGTGAGAAGCCAAGTTTCTCTATAATGACCACAGTGGGTCTATTTCTCTTTTTAAGCCAGTCACATTTAGCAGTGGGGGGTTTATAACAACTTTATTGGCACTAACCTTAATAAGTTCTGATAACTCAATACCATTGGACAGCCAGGCCTATTTTAAAGTCAATGATAATTTTAAATCATCAACATAATTGCAAAAAACCTCCTTAGTTGCGTTCACTGAGGGAAAGGGCTGTGTCTAGTTTATTTCTGTTTATCCCCAGAGCCTAGTACAGTGCCTGGTATAAATGGTAAGTATTCAATGCATGTCTGTTGAATCAACTACCATGAGATGCATATAATGTCTTAGTCAAGGTTATTTTTCTTCATTAAATACTAGAGAGAACAGATATAAGGGACTCCTAAAATCTGACAATGATCATCAGGAAATAAGTTTTATTTGAAAATGAGAATTTAAAATCCAAATGGTATAATCAAACTTATGTAATGAACACTGTTAAAAATGGAAGATTTGTGAATAATTAAGATTATTCACACCTTCTCATCTTCATTTAAATTTCCTCATTCTCCCAAACACCAATATTTTGAAACTTTTTAGACAAAATTTTCATTTCAAATGACTGTTTATCCAAAGTAACCCTTTCTCCTTCAATTACTCTCTCATATCACATTATTTCCTTGACAGCATTTACCACAGTCTAAAATTATCTTCTTGTCATGACTTTAGGCCAGTTTTCTTCTATTATATCACACTGTCAGTCTTCCACTGAAAGAAAATGTGGTGTCAGTTTTAGTTATCTGCTTTAAAAGGTCTGAAGTGACACAGAAAGGTAAAAATAGATGGAGATAAATAGGTCCCAATCAAAAGCTTTTTCAAGTTGATAGGGAAATCTTGTCTCCATTAGAAAAAAAGGGGGATAAATAATGAGATGTTGGTGGAACTAGGTCCTTCAGTCAGAGAGACCCGGGATCTAATGCACAGCAATTGGGCTGGTCTTCTAAAATAAGTTCTTTGTCCTGTAAAATTCCTGTGAAATTTAAAAAGAAAACCAAATGGGTGGTATATATGAAAATATGGAGGTATGATGAAGTTAAAAGAAGGGAAGGTAAAGGTGTTCTCAATAGATGGTATCAGTTCTTTCAATACATTTGATGCCAAGAAATACAGCATGAATAAAGTACATAGAAATGTAACTGGAGGGTTGGGGAGAGAAAATTTCTGACCAGGAATGTAGTAGACAATTAACAAGATACAAATATGATTGCTGAGCTAGTGATATAACCAGAGTAGAATTTGGATAGCATAAATTTATTATAGGCCAAATCTGCAATTTGAAATAACAAAACCTTATTTATACTTGTACAATCCTTTATAGTTTATAAACTGCTTCCCTAAGTTTTATCTCATTTAGTACTTCTCTTTCTGTAACATTTCTGTAACAAGAGCAGCAAAAGAGAAGTCCATGTCTGTATAATGGAAGGCTACACGGAAAATGGACTGTATTTCCCCCATATAGAAAAATGGGATATGTATCACACCCCAATCACTACATATATAATATTTCAGAGTAATTATTACCCTAAATAATTCTATATAGGCTGACACTAAAACTAATAATTTCCTAAGCACTGATCAGTCATAATGGAAGATGCCAAAAAACAAAAGCACAGCCCCACATCACTTCTTGGAGGCAGGGAAGAGAACAAGAAAAAAAAAAAAAAAAAATCAACTGCTCTTTGCTACAGATGATACAACAAAGCTACAGATGATTACAGAAGTCTATTTAGGATAATTAAATTGAATCTCCCTCATACCTTCTTAAAATATTAAGGAGAGTGTTACAGTTTTACAGAAGTATAGGAAAGAACAAACATGCTGTCAACTAAATGAACATAACATTCTCTTGACAGGTTTCTCCTAGTAGTCTTCCTTCCTTGAAGTAAAAGTGTCCACCTACAGAATCATTTAATCTTAAAGGTGCAAAATCACCTAGAAAAATGTGTTCTCTAAACTACTTTTTTCAAGCTCTTATTCAAGATTTAGCTTTTCAGCATTCTTTTTAGGACATGATATGATGCCCCAAACTAAATACAACATCTCAGATTTTATCTCATCAACACAAAATAAAGTGAGATTCTTATCTTCATCTCCCCTGTGGGAGGCATGGAAAATTACTAAATTAGCCATTATTATTATTATTATGACATCCATAGTCACTCTAATGACTCCTATTAAGATTATTTTCACTTGCAACCTTAGAATTATTCTTCTTGAATTGCTCCTATAAAACATTTTCCTCATCCTGCATCTGTATGATTCTTATTTGGGGGCTGAAACTATTTTTTTAGACAAAAATAGGACTGTATATTTTGTAGACATGGCCCATAATTTCAGCTTATTAAAATTTTAGTTTTCACTAAAAAAATACATTTTTAAAGATCATCATGGTATCGATGTCCTCATCAAGTTACTTCTAAAAATGTTCGTCATATGATGTTGAAGGGGGAGGGGGAGAGGGAGCGGTGAAGAGAAACTAGTAAAGGAACACGAATATCAACTACGTGTACATTGAAAAGTTAAAATTAAAAAATAAAAATAAAAAGAAGCGTTGGCGCTCCCGCCGAGGGTTCAGATCCCATATAGAGACCGGTCCGCTCACTGGTTGAGCACGGTGCGGGCGCGACACCGAGGGTTGCGATCCCGTTGCCGGTCGCGGTACGGGCGCAACACCAAGGGTTGCGATCCCGTTACCGGTCACGAAAAAAGACAAAAAGGAAAAAAAAAAAAATAATAATAATAAATCGGGGCCGGCCCGGTGGCGCACTGCTACAGTGCGCTGCTCGGGAGTGCGGCGGTGCTCCCGCCAAGGGTTCGGATCCCACATACAGACCGGCCACTCACTGGCTGAGCGGGGGGCGGGCGG